TCACTTCTTCTGATAGAAGCTATAAACCGGGCTGTCAACAGAGAAGAAAACGATCAAATTCCCCGTTGTGTTCCCTTTGCAGTAGCTTGACAACAGATCCATCCACATGATTCTTCACAGTTTCACAAAAGAGAAATCCATACAACTCTTACACAACCTGACTACAATACTTGGTTTGTCAAAACCCAAAAATGTTTGGCAATAGGACAGTACAAAAAAATTTGATTTTGTGAAAAAAAAACTGAGAGAACCATCAGATAGGAGCGAAAGACTTTCAATTTATAATCTCATAGATTATCATTTGAACTATGCTTCTAATCATCACATGAACCTCTCATGTCAAATATAAGCATAATAACACACACACACACACGCATATGTATGTAGAGGTAGAGAGAGAGAGGGGGGGGGACAAACTCCAAGATCGTCTATTCACACATAAAGAAATGACTTCAACAGTAACGCAACCCTAATTTAGAGACCCCAAACCCTAGTACTCGTGCATCGAAATGTTATGCCTTTGGTTCACCGTTCGCTTCAGCTGTACTTACAGGGGGCGCTGAGGAGCTAGAGTTTCTCCTCGTAAGGGTAAAGAATATAGGATAAATTATACAAATGATCCCTTAAGCTTAATGTTAGTCGCATTTTAATTCTCAATTTTAATTTAGAGCGACAAAATATGCTAAATTGGTGATAAAGAAAGAAGAACAAAAATTCCCGAATTTGAGAGAGAGAGAGAGAGAGAGAGAGAGAGAGATGTGAGTCACGCAATGTGCAAGAAAATAAAATTCAATACTTATTGTAAATCATCAAATCAGTATTTATAAAAAGATCTAATCCATCTTTTATGTTGAAATAATGTTATTCATTTTATATGTTTATATTTTATCACAAAATAATCTAAACCTCTCTGTCTTCAAAATTCAAATTTCGCTCTACTTTATATATATATATAAAATAAAACATGCGTGTATTTAAATTTTGTCTCAGTTATATTTTTCCCCTTAAAATTATCATTAACCACTTACCTCATCCTTTTATCAGACTCAAACATAAAATCGCATCATTTATTTTTATCATATATTTAATCATTTATATATTTATTCTCTAAAAACATCACATCACTCATTTTTATCATATATTTAATCATTTAATATTTAATTAATTTATAATTAATATATTTTTAAAAAAATTAATATAATAAAATTAATTTTTTGAACGTTCAAATTTTATATTTTATCATAAACACGGGTCATAACTAATATATATAAATAGATGTGTGAAAAAAAAAATATTTTAATATAAATCAAACTCTTAAAATTTATTAATTTTTAATTTCACTTAACTTCTAAAGAGTAAGAATAGTTTGACGAAATTGACAATAAATAAATTTTTTTAACAAACTTAAATCCTAACACATCCATGTAAAAAGACCAACCTCCAAATTTCCCTACTATGTAACCCAAATTTGCATCCCAAATACGATTGAGTCTCATCAATTTTTTTAAATAAAAATCACCAATTCAATGATCCTTATTGATTGAAAATACAAATTTAGATTACAAATTTAAATTATATAACATTACTCATTTGAGTTTATCCATTAGAACTATTTACAGCAAATCAAACTCTTTAAATTTGAGTTTGTTCGGTGGAACTATTTATATCAAATTAAATTTTTCAGTCAAATATTAATTTAAATTTCAATAAAAATTTAAATCATAATCAGAAATGCTCTAATGATAAAATGTCCCTCTCTATTAAAGATCAAATGATCATATTTTACCATCTTTTAAATTTACATTTATCACTCATTTAAATTTGAATTTTTCTTTCTTTAAATTTAAATTTTGAATTTTACAATTACATAGATCTATACCAAAACAAAAATTTTACCCCTTTTTTATTCAAATTTGAGTAATGGTGTTTGGTTTCATTGAAAATAGTCTAACAGCAGCATAAATAAGTCATAAAATGTAAGCAGGGATAAAGTAACAGAGAGCTTATAAGAAACGAAGCTAACTGTGTCGCAATACCTGTTTTCAATTTCTGCCCTTTATAAACGAGATGTCCAGCAACATAACAATCTGGACACCAGATACCAAGGGCAAAACCTCTCTTAAATACAATAATTACAAAGAAAAACACTACTCCCATTAAAATATACTGATACAAAGTCTGCAATCTCAGCCGAAAGATGGTGAAAATATTTGTGATAATCACATGTAAATCAGAGACATTTAATACACTTCATCATAGATTGCATCACCCAGTAAGTTTATATCAAATTAATAATCAAATGAAATATTAAAAAATAAAACAAAATGTTGGCCCAAAAATGGTCATCTTCAACCTCAAACCCGCTAATTCTGTATCGATTTTGACCACTTAAAGACAGTTCCAGGTCTGGTTTCAAACCAGAAGTTTATAATTTTGAGATGTGCAGTAGAGGTCAGATGGTAGTGCATGTTATATATTCATCATTTGTACTGCAGAATATATGGATACAAATCATCACCCCTCTTTGCACATCTCCACTTTTGTAACCCTAGATTAAAATTTTTAAATTTAAAAAAAAAATTAAAAACAAATGATTGGAAGAAAAATTTATCGTTCTGCATAGAAGAATCAGATATAAAAATGTCTATCACCATCTTGCATCAAGAGATGCTATGTAAGACTGGGGCGACAAAGACTATCATCATATTCCATTTCCATCAAATAGAAAAACATAGAAAATGAAGGAAAATGGAATCAAAGAGCTAGCAAACATTGGCAATGAATAGATCTCTCTCACACACATGCATATGTGTTTTACCTTGACGGAGATTTTGATGGCTCACCATCTTCTTCGTGAGTAAAGGCACTGCCATGTCTCCTCCCAGCCTTACCTTCTCTGCACACACAATTACCCACAGCAACCCCTCTACATTTGAGAGATGGAAAGAGGGTTAGGGTTCTTCTCAGCCGACGAGCCTGCCTTGAAAGAGCGTAGCTCGAAGGTTATATAGAAGGGAAGACACGGTCCTTGCTAGGGTTTCGGTTTCTAGGTGCCGAACGTTTTTGGAAAAATACCATTTTGCCCTAAAAATTACAAAAAATTTTAATTTGTCTTTCAAATGATTAATTTTCTCCCACTATTCCTCAAAGAATGAAAAACGTTACAATACTTTATCGTCTTATTTTTATTTGGTCATCCGTCAATTTAACGATTCTTGATAGGTTAGTTTGACACAAAATAGACGAACGACCAAACTAATATAAGATGATAGGTTACATTGTAACATTTTTTATTTTTTGAGGGGATAATATAAAAAAATTAATCATTCAAAAGGCAAAGTAAAAAATTTTGCATCTTTCAAGAACAATATTAGTAGGACCTACTCCCTCTCTTCTTAAATATCTATTGTTTAAGAGTTTTGCATAAGGATTAAGAAAGTTATTAAATAGCTCTAATATAAGTAAAAAATAATTACACACAACTAAAATACTCTTATTCAATACGTATTGAAAAAGAAAATAATATGAAAGGCACTTAATTTCCACCTAATCTAATGTATTGAAAAATTAAGGGTAAATTTGGAAGAAAAAATACTAATTATACTTCGATTTCATTAAATGACAGATATTATGGAATAAAAAAAATTGTGTAAAACGACAGATATTTAAGAACGGAGGGAGTAATTCACTTTGACCTTTGGATTCACTGTATATTCCATCAAACATTAAAACTTGATGTTGATCTAATGATTTATATAAAATCACATCATTAAATCAACAAATTAAATTAAATTTTTAGGTTCAAATGGTATTACTCAACTTTCAAGAAGCAAAATGAGATTTACCCAACATTTTTTGAGGCGATTGATTCAATACAAAGGTGTATTAAGCATGATGGGCATCCATTGCATATGAACATTACTTATTTATTGAAATTGTTTGTGCGTAATTTTTGCTCTCCAAAATATGATTTGACCCGATTTCAACCTGTACCCATGACCAAATTACCCGATTTCAGCCAGAGACAAGTACTATCTTTGGATCTCATGTTTAAATCTTGTCAAAAATGAATTGCAAGTGATCATGCACATTTCGAAATTAAGTCATAATAAAGTCCAACGACGTGTGGTTAAAATAGTTACCAGTCATTAAAAAGTATATCTTTTTTAAACAAGTAATTTTATGATCCTACCAACTCCGATTCCTATTTTTTTTAAACTCGAATTTGAATTTGAATTTGAATAAAAAATTCTTAAAAACTTTCTTCAATCCAATACCCAAACTCATACCAAATGAAAGGAGATTCATTGACCCATTTACAGATAAGTTTTCAATATACAACCCCATTATTCTACTGGTGATGCATACAATTTGCAGATAAGTATTCCATATACAAGCCCCATTCTTCGGGGACGCTTTCCACCCCCTATTACATACACCTATCTATGTATTACTCACTCACTTCAATTACACAAACCTTACTGGGAGGGCAAGCGTTCAGGGAACCGTAGATTGAACAATGGAACTCATAAGAGTTGGGCGAGGAGGGGATGACATCAACCCACTCTTTGTCAACCTTCTCGACATGGGTGCTCGATCTTGAGATAGCTTGAAAGTGGAGTTTATTGATCTGTTTTGTCAACTGTTTCATAAACTTCATGGAAAAGATCATGTCAAAATTGTCCTCAAGATTGTCCATGTCCTCGAAAACTTGTATTCCTATGTTTGCGTCACATGAATTAACTAGGCCAAGTAGAGATTGCCCACCAACAAATCTTTGGTTCATGTTGCGAACCTGAAAGAGAGCACCATGTTAACACAACAATATCAAGCATTAAACAGTATCAGACAGTCTATCGGTCAGATATTGTGTTGCGTTAGTAAAAGTTAGCACTAGTTTCACCAAATGACCAAACAAGAATTGGTGCTGAATTTGATTAAAGCAGAGGAGAACGGCAAAATTGGGTGAGCCTTGGCACAAAAGTAAAATTATTTCATTGTGACCTGTATGTTACGAGTTCAAGTCACATAAACAGTATTTCAACACGAGCAAGTAAAGGCCGCATGTATCTGACATTCCCCAAACCCGACTGGCAAGACCTCACTCACTGGACTACCCTCTTACGGATGAAAATGGTATAAAAATATTTAGCAGGGAAACTGTTATTGCACCTAATTTGGAGACCTAAAATCAACTATAATTGTTGGATTAAAAGTGGACTCCATCCAACCTTAGAACTCATAAGTACTCAATGAATACATTGAATTAGGTCCCTACAACATTGGTCATTTTACAGACAGTTGCGACACTTGCCTACCCTGTAATGGTTACTATGTGACTTCTTGTGTATGCTAAGGAAAACATTTTAAGTGTACATGTTTTGTTTTGTTTTCCTTTTGTGTGCGGGTGGGTGTGGGTGTTTTTTTTTTTTTTTTTTCATGTGTGTGTGGTGGGGGGTTGCAGTGCTAGTAAAATGGCTCACCTCAATATACTCCACGCCCATTTCACTAAGATTCTCCAAAATGCCATGAGATGAAAGTAAGCTAGTAATTCCTCCAGACCCAAGTGGCATTTGGAGTATTTCCCATGGTGACTTCATCAAAATCTTGTACTTGTTTTCTTCTGGAGAGCAACTAACAACTGGCAGCTTCTCTTCTTCCAAGAACCAGACCTTTAAACAGGTTGAAAGGAAGGAAGCATAAGTACACAGTGCACACGAATTACAGAATCACACATTTGAACCAATATAATTGCCCCATCATCTACTTTTGATGTTGTAAGTTATTCATGCACATGCAGTAACTGTTAGAATCCAAATAAGACAATATAGAAGAACGACGCAAACCAAAGCAGAATCAAACGCAATACAGCGAACTGCTTTCTTTATTCAAGTTGCACCATAATGGGTTGTCAAGATCTATGACAGAATTTTTAGTTTCAGAGATGAGCTTTGCTGTCCAGGTTCAAAACAAACACCCCAAAATCAGACTCAACGCTTTACCTGACCTGACTATCTTTTTGCACACAAAATCTTCTGCTGGTCATTTTGGAATTTTCTTAAGAGCCATGTTGCATCAAAACTTAAGGAATTTTTAACACAAGCAATTTCAAGAACCTGATTGGATAAACTAGGTCAAAACAGGTCCCGTTATTCTATCAACAAAACTATTGTATACCAAAATTACCAAATGTGAAACAAAGTACTGGTTTTGAAGTGAGTTTTCTCCCAAAAGTAAATGCTGGCCAATATCTAACAAATTTCAACTATGATCGGCTGACTAACAAAACCAAATTCAAAGACTAGACATTTTTTTCCTGAAGAAAGACTAACATTTGTTTTAAGGTTCAAATGTCGATTTGCTGTAACTAAAGATGTCCAACAATGACCCAATTCAGGGCATCTCCTCATCAAAATAGAATATAACACAGGTTATATAATTGAATCATTCCTGAAATGGGCAACACTAACCTTCTTGGGGTCAAAACCAAGGTGATCATTGTTTGAGAACAATTTTTGGAGAGAACTGATTGTATGAGCTGGGCAAACCAAAATCAAAGGCACAGATGCACGACCTTCTATCTGCATTGAGCAAGGGGATTCATTAAACCAAATTGCAGGTATGTGCTCCTACACAAGGCCTAAGATAAATTACCTTGACATTTTACAATTTAAAAGTTTTGTGATGGTTTAGCTTGAGAGAAACTAATACCAAACAAAGGAAGTTTCTTCTGCTAATGAATTCCAGCAACATAATATCTAGCAAGAAATATTGATCTAAAACAGAAATTTAGCATGTTTGCTTGCAAAATATCCTATGAAGGAAGAAGTATAACAATATGTGTGTCCAACATGACCTAGCATGGAATGTCATGTGCTAGACACCATAATGAGTTCCCAATGGCAAAAATAATTACAACAGGTAATACAAGCTGCCAGAGCCTCAGTTTGATTCAATAAGAAACATTGACAATGCAGCATATTCAAGTTTTAAAGAAACGCAAAAAAAAAAAAAAATGGCCCTTGATGATATAGCAGCCAGAACCTAAGTACACCAAAAATTTATAGCTAACCATACAATGCCAAGAAAGCAAATATACTCAACATTGGTTACGCCTTAAACCCATCTCCTAGGTGGAAGCAATACAAAAGAATATATGAACCACTTCATATCCTTTATCAGTCACATAAATTAGAAAACCCTCATGTTTTATAAAAAGGACCACCTTTACTAATCTTTGATCATCACAAAGTAGGGCCTCTAAAAGCAGACAAGGGTCCTCAGTTCTTTTGCGGTCAACAAGATTGGTGTCAGAGCCACTTCCAAGCTTTTCACTGCCATCCACAACTAGAACAATTGCAACCTTGCCATCAGATGTAAGAAGATGGCCATTTTCTCGCAATCTGGAATTTGCATTTAATTTCTCTCCGCTTCCATTAGTAAGAATTTCATCTGCTAATTTCAGAGTATATGTCGATTGCCCCTGGAGATGAGCTTTGAAGAACTCGCCTAAACTCCATCTGAGTCAAGAAGTCACAAACGATAAAGAGGTCAATACATTGTGCAGCAAAAGGAAAAAAATCCCACCTATAATGCAATAGCATGTGCCCTTCATGTTCTAACTTCCAATTGGTTGTAAGAGGACTATAAATGAATATTTGCCATCAAATTGCAGGATTGTTTTGCCTCTCGATAAAACTCACCCTCCAATAATTCATAAGGGTATTGGGAAATTTGTTATGTTAGGTAAAGGACTGTGAAAAGATCAAAGAAGCCAAAATAAGCCTTATGGTTTTCTGTTGAACTAAAATTCACATGCATTCAATGAAGTTTTTTGGTCAAAGTATAAGCAAATCTCTTAATTAGATAGTAAATTAATAATTCTACTATCTAATAAATTTTCCCTCTCCCATATATAAGTTATTAGTGGTCACCTATATATATTTTCTTTTTTATTTTTATAATCAATGCATACAATATTAAAAGATTAAAAATTCATCTAATTCCTCTCAAATATATATATATATATAAAAGGTAAACAGGAGTTGGCAATACACTAAATGAGTAATATCCTACCATTTTACATCATATCGGCACCCTAAAGGTATCAAAACTCCATGTCAAACAGCATCTTTGCACAATCTATTACACATAGCTTACCAAACACAAAATGTGAAGAATCAAATGGGGAAAGGGGATTACTGGGGAGGAAATGACTAACAAAACACAAAAGACGTATGTGAAAAGTACAATCACAAGTTATGATTATACTTTCTAGCTACAACTGTAAGGGCTAATTGTCCATATTCTATATAAAATGGGAGAAAAATGCAGATACATCAACCCAGCTCCACTCAACCAATATCAGGCAAAATATAGGTTATTTTTCGCAGGCTAATGAAAAAATCCTCATTCAAAAAAAAATCCCAGATAAGTTCACGATAGTGTTGGCCTTCCATGTGGACATCTTGATGCCCCAAAATTCAAAACTCTTGGACATTTGAAAATGAAGTATGCTAAACGGTAACCGCGTCTTCTCCCACATGAACCTAATGATCAAGATACAGCAACATGGATCCAGATAATGAACTTCACCTCTTAGAGGGTATCTCAATATTCTGTAATGCGTGTTGGAGCAACCTAGAATTTACACCTACTATCTGATCTGCAAGTAAGCTCGTTTGGGCTTTCTCTCCAAATCTAAAACCATGAAAAACATGCTGCTGCTCCATTTCACACAGTTTCTTTTTTGCCGCTATGAGGCGTTTCCTCTTTTTCCATTCCTGAAATGCACAAATGAGCAGTTTAAGGACTAGGCAAGCTAAATGAGCAACCATAACATTGATTCAAAAGTGGGACATTCAAACTCAATCTTCACTAGCAAGTGGTGTCAACCATGTTTTTCAAAATTAATACATAAATCAGTCATACAGTACAAAGAAAAAAGAATCTCACAATCTGGCGCCTTTCTTTCTTTGACCTCTCATCAGAACGCACATTTAACTCAAGGAGGCCCTTTGGTGGTGTAATCTGCATTTCTCTTTTATTCATATCAACATGTGGAATAATAGCTTCAACGAAAGGAACCCACACAAGGGGACCAGAAGCACTTAGTTCTGATGCTGGCCTCCCATTTCCGTCATCTCTGTCTCTGTGTGAATTAAGCATGACATGTAGAAGATCACTTGCTCCAGTGTTGAAAATATTGGCGACAGTGCCGACTGGTTCACCAGTTTCCTGAAAGGGAAAGAGAATAATTAATGCCACAGAAGAAACTAATGCTTTGGTTCCTGGTCACAACAAACAGCCCACTTCTCCCCCAACCCCAACCCTCACCCCACCCCAAACACACTTACAGGAAGAGAGGGGTGAGAAGGAGATATTGGAAATTCTCTTAGACCAAAAACCCAGATAAACCAATCTCTCTATGAATCAATCTGGGCTATCCTCCATCCGGATAGGCACTTACTCTTGAACCAGTTACTCTCATTGCAGTTATAGCATCAAGCACAGGTTACGAAAGCAAGGGCATAAAGGCTTTCCGGGCCTAAAGACTCTTTTCTCAGTGGTACTAGAATATGCATGTAAGGAGCGCATTCACGAGCACTAGCTATCCTGGCTTGGGGGAGTATTGAAGTAAGTTATCTCACAAATGCAATATGATGCTTCTTGCGTTGAAGGAAAGTACGGTCAATCAGTCAAAGACTCCATCAGAGCCCTTTCAAGAGACTCTTTCTTAGTCCATGTGCCTTCTCCTTTTCGATTTCATCTCTTATTTCCTCCTAGATTTCACTTCCTCTATCAAATCAAAGAGCAGCTATTCACCATCAGGAAAGACAGTAAACCAAGGAAATGAAAAACTTCACTTCTAAGCTAGCATAAGGGATTCAAAACCAAAAGCATTGGGAAGAGAATGCAAGTTGGAAAGGATTGATCTGATTGATTGACCTAAGGAAAGCAAGGAACTTGTCCCTTTGAGTGACTACACTGATCTTTATATGTTTGGGCTACATTCGTAACATGGTTTGAAGTCGTTAAGTTTAGAGTAGCGGCAGAATAAATACAATATGGGAGAGGGAAAGAGAGGGTTTAACTTACCCTACCTTTCAATATCAACTTGTATTTATAGTTACTGATACTCTCTGTGTGGTATACATGTTACAATAAGTGTGAACCCTAATAATACTATAGTAATACTCTCAACAGATGTAAAAAGGTTCATCGCCTTGGTGATTCGTCTAACAATTGCGAAAGAAGCACACATGGATTATCACGCAGCATTCACAACATCTTCACATTCCAACATTGTACCATTTGGTGTTATTGCAGAACAAAGAATTATTATTGAACGCATGCTGTGTGTAGGTCTAGTTTAAATATCAAATGGAAACCTTCAATAAACAGCAGGGAAAAATTCATCCAAAGCACCCTCAAGTCACAAGACCAAAAATATATTTTGTTGAAGTAACCTGAATATGGAACATGAGAGTAGAAAGATTGTGCTAAGAGAACAAACCTTAAGAATAACTCTCATGCCAATGAGATCACGAGAGTAAAACTCGTCTTCTGCTAATGCTGGTCTTTCTTCTTCCATTACAAGCATAGTTGACCCAACAAGTAGTTGAGCCTGAGAAAAATTGAAAAAAATAACAAATCTTCATCAAAACTAAATGTGCATTATAAGACCAACAAAAAAAAAAGATACACTCTTTTTCGTAGGTTACTAACCTCTAAACAGTCCACCCAAAATAAAAATTGCACTTATTTTGTTATTTGAATATCACCATTTGGAAAGCTCTCCAATGCTATAAAAGTAGACCTTTACGTTCAGTTACTAATAGCTGTGGTTTTTCTAGCACTATTTTCCTAATAAAAACACAAACAGTCTTACTATTAAAGTTTTACTATAGATTTACAATTAGCAGTCATTGCAGACATATACTAAATGTGAAAATCTACGAAATGACTATTACTGTTCTGGGAGACATTCTACAAAGTTCAATCAGATGGGCAGCCAGTCAAGGATGAACAGGCAAGCTATCAAACCAAACTGGACGACAATAACAGAGAAAAATAAATATTTAAAAATATATTCACGGTAGGAAAGTAAAATAGTACATCTTAGCCACGTAGAGAAACACAAGAAACGGTGATTGGAGCCTTTTAAATATTTCAAACCAACAACTTATAGGCCATCTGTCTAACCAGACATTAATTACGTTTGACCCTGGAGCTAGGACTCGTTAACAAAGTTACAACGTTACTCTATCCAGTTTGGTGTAAAAACCACAGACATTAGTACCCTGCCTACCATTGAGTATCGAAATGTCACCAATTCCTTGCCCAAAACCTCATGGAACTAATAGTGGTTTAACTTTAAACCATCCAATCCAATGTTTGGGTTGAAGCCATAGGCATCAGTAAGAGAACCCTCCCTACCATTTGTTTCCTTCACATTGAGTAGAAATATCTCACTAATTAGTTGCCTGAAACCTCGAGAAAAGGTTACCAATTGCTGGTATGGATTTAACCGCAATGTGCATCAAATTAACTTTAGAACAGAATGAAAAAATATTGCAAATAAAAGAAATGAGTCACTCCAAAGAAGCTCACCTTGTCCGCCGTGTCAACTTCACTGAATTTAACAATCCATCCCTTCTGTCCTGATTGTCCTCTTCCCTCCACCAGATCTACTACTTGAATTTTTTCTCTCCCTGAAACCTGTTGCCTCAACCATCGTCTACCTGGCTAAAAAAGGAGTAATCTCCAGTAAGAAAATACAAAAAATTCAAGGATGAATTCCCAAATGAAGGTTTGATTACTAATTTTGGGCTACTCCAATAGTTTCTACCTTGGAAAAACGCAGTTCAGGAAAATCAGTCCTGCCTTTCACCCGAACCTCCCCTTGAAGCCCATGAACACTGCTTATGTACCCAATTTCAACGAACTTGACTTCATTCTGAGTGGTTTGAACCATCTCTTGGGTAGCTGAAATGAGATGAAAAATCAATCAAACAATCTCATTATCCAAAGTTGATAAATTTTGTAAATCATCATAATTGTTAACATGTAATGGAATGGATACCCAATGTTGATAAATTTTGAACCCATCATTTTAAATGTCAATTCCTAAGTCAGCTGACAGATTAAACAAACAATAAGCCAAATAATTGCACAATGACCAAATTATCTAGGTTCCTCAACGATTGTTGCAAATCATATTTCATACCAAAGTGATCTGAGACAAGTGGTGTTATTGAAACACTTCTATAGAAGTCACAATGAGATTTCCCAATATCATGCTAAGAATAGCTAGGATTTCCAGAAGAAGATGCCATTCGTTTGATGAGAAATAAATCACACATTCCCATCACTGAAAGATTGAATTGACAAACCCACAAGGAGATAATCCCACAAACTAATACCACGCTTAATTGCTTAGAATTAGTGAATCCTATCACACTGTGTGGTCATTCCACGCGTTTTTTTCTTATCAGTAACACGGTGTAAAGACCTCTCAAATGTCTATTACAATTTTTCTGCAATCCAGTCTAAAACAGGAGAGACAGGAGATGTAAACTAGGATCACACTCAATAGAAAATCCATCAGAGTATGAGGTATAAACTGAGTTTTGACAGCAATGTAGGGTCCTGCTTTGTATTCTTTGGAATCTGATACTTCTTTTTTTACATTTTCGGCAGGTATGAATCTGACATCTAGCAACAAATAAACTCTATTATGCTGGTATTAACTTCAAAATTCCAATTCTTACCTTTGTGCAAAGTAAGCATCTTGATAGTAACTATGTATTGATCGAATTCATAGACAACTAAAAGACTCAGTACACATCAAAGAACATCTCTGAAAGAGGCTGCAATATATATGCATTCATTACCAAATCCTGATAAAGTGGAGGTTTCCACAACAATAGATGCTTAATAAAAGGATTATAACCAAAACTCATCTCATAAAAAGACTCGTTCAACCCAAACCCAGCAAAGAAGATTCCAATAAAAACTAAAATACATATCCAATTGGACCTAAATTGCGATAAAAATAATGCAAATTTCAGATTTTTCTCAAGCAGCTGAAGCAAAAGCGAAAAATATACAGAAGATAGCACAAACCCATTAAAGAGAGTCTCAAAATAATCCAAACCCATCAAACAAGCCAATAAAAACGAGAAATATTGAAAATTGGAGAAAAATTTACCATTACTCTGCAGTGAAGAGAGGGTGGTTCGTTTATTTATCCGAGAATAATTCAAGGGTAAATGGCCAATACATGAAGAAATGCTAACAGAACCAATGAACCCCTTTTGAGAGGGCACTGTGAAACGCGGAGAGGTAGAGAGATAAAGTGATGGAGAGAGAGGGTTTGCAGAACAGAAAGCAGAAGAGCACTGCATCGTTTGCCCACTCCCAAGTGAGAGAGAGAACACACTTACCGCTACAGAAACAAAATCAGGGTACAGTAGTTTAAGCGCAAAGTACAACCGTTTTAGAGCGATAGTATTAGATTTTTGTATCCGAAATGGGGAATCACACTTTACACCCCAAGCAATTTATAATTTTTTTTAATTTTTGAACATTAAATTTTTTATATTAGTATTTCTTTGGCAAACTACAATATAAGCCCTGTAGTTTATCATCCAAAGTAATATTAGATTGATGGAAAAATGGGATCAAAATATAGATTAAATGTTAGAACATTATCATAATAAAAAATGTAAAAGTAGAACCAACAATATTTGTTTTGGCCTAAAATATAAAATATTAGAAATATTCAATTTATTAACACCTAATATTCCAAATTTACTGAAAAAGTGTCGCGTGGCATAAGTTGAAGAAAGTCGGGATATAAGTATCCAACTAGGAATTACCATTAAGTAACCATCGAGAGGATGAAATTATTGATGCAAATGGCTATAAAAACGGAATTCAATGGAGAAGAAACACGTTCAACCCCCTAAAAGACTCCCAATCTGAGCATTGTTATGAATAGTTTTTTTTAGGCTAGTTTAGGAGCGGTTAGTGTTGCAATTAAGGTTATTTTATTCAATTTTTTATAAGTCTTTTCGACTAGATTAATATAAGAATTATTTTTTTATTAGTTCTCTATTTTAATTTTGACTTTACGCAGTGAGAATTTCATTGTTTTCATTCAAAGAAATATTGAAACAAGGTATTTAAATCCATTCCAAATAATCATTTGAAAGTTGTCTTCCGATTGGGATATTTCTGCCGATCCCAGGAGATTTTAGAGCAACAATCTTTTAGCACACTCAGTAGAACAACATTACTAACTTGGATAAAAAAAATGATTCAAACAATGAAGTAAGACGAGATTATATTTGGCACAAAAAAAAAAGCAAAAACTGTAAAAATAATGTCAAACAATAGCAAGCATGAAGCAAGTTCAAATGTCAACCCAGTGGAGTCATGCAAATCTAAAACCTAGTCAGTCTAGTGACCTAGATAGTGTGCAGATGCAACAATTTGTGCAAAATCTGAAACAGGTATTGCATAATTCAAGTTCTGACATAAGACAATATTTAGTTAATGCAATGAATGAGTTATTGGGTATCCAAACACCAATGTCAGAGCTAATTAATTAGAAATCAACCATCGTCATTAGAAATCAAATAGTGGAAGAAGGAAACACTAATCCTATGGTATTCCCTATGAAAAACTAAAAGTTACGACCAACGGTACCCAATATAAGACCAAGTTCACAATACCAAAATCATTTTAAAATGACTTTCAATGGAAATGTTCTCTAATTTCTACCTAGGTAAGAACCTAAGGCGTATAAATAGACCAACAATGACTCCTGAATTTCCTAGGAGGGGTCATGAGAGGCAATTCATGCCTCCAATGGAGCCATTATAAGAAATTAACCTTAACCCAAGGTCAGGGACAACGTTTGAAAATTTCAAAGGCCACAATAACATGACTTTTAACATAAACCAATTGGTAAAAATGATTCATGATCTATAAGGTCCTAGCCTTAAAAAAATTGAAAAGCCTGTGTTTAGGAAATCAAATCCACCATGGATCGATTTCGAGGAATTTCCAAAAGGATATAAAATATAGGAATTTCACCTTTACTATGATGAGTACAATTAATCAACCATAGAAACATATAGACAAATTCACTTTCTAGTGTGGTAAAGTTGAAAATAATGGAAACTTAAAAATGAAATTATCCCTACAATCTTTAACTAAAACAGGCTTTGCTTGATTCATAAACTTACCTGTTAATTCAATTCAGACTTGACAAGAAATGGAAGAGCGATTTCATTCTCAATTTTTTAAGAATGAAGGTTTCAATGACAGATATGTCAAGGTTAAAATATAAATCGTATGAATCTGCATGACAGTATATCGTCAAATTCAATAAAGGTATAAACAAATGACATGGATACTTACTTGAAGGAATGGAGTTTAATCATGGCTACCAAATATGAGATGTTTCTCACAGAAGAGCAACAAAGAAAAAATAGTTCACTTAGAACTTATTTTCAAGATTTTAATGGAGAAATTAAAATCGATGTAATATAGATCATAGAAAAATCACCAGTTTTCTGTAACACCTTAAAAAAGATTGGGGATCTTATAAATATGCCATCTAGCCATCATTTCAAAGAAGATGCACCTTCAACTTATCAACAATATTCTTTTAATCTATCGATGACCGATACTCTATTTGATGAGTTAATTAATCAGAAATTTATAGAGAAAGATAGAAAATGAAAAATGTAGTGGAAATGACGTAATTCATTTAGGTATTCAACCAAAAATTGTATTACTTTTAGAAATCATGTGCTAGATTTAATTTAAAAATGAATGCTTAAATATGCTTCAAAAGAAGAAGTCATTGGTGTGGACAATGATCATTTCCCAAAGAGATTAATGTAAACATAGTGTCTGCTAATTTGCAGAAAGACAAGAAGATTTTAGTATGGTTGTTGGCAATGAATTTTTTTTTTCAAAACATGAGGAAGCTATTCCACAGCAAGCTTGGTCCCAAGGAAGAAGAACCACTAATCATGTGCTTCAAGTGTGCCAAAAAAATGGCTGAGTCCGATGTTATACCACTGGATGATGTGGTGAGAGAATATGGGCCTATGGTGTTCTACTCGATAGCTTTAGAAGAATCAGCATCAACATTTTTAGTCGGTGAGCAGAGACATATGCAAGGGAAGGAGTATAAGCCTATATTGCACATGTGAAAATCATCGGTCTGTGCATTTTACCTTCTCTCTTTGCTTTATATTTTGGAATACTTTCTAATATTTTTGGTAACCGATGTTGGATAATTAGACCCGTGAATATGGTATTTGTATGAATGACGTATATTAATCCGAAAGGGGTAGCTCAAGTCATCCCTAATCGTTAAACAAAAAAAAAGTTGAAATTTTTGGATTGATGATTTTGTTTATTTATTTATCTTTTTGGGAAGGGGGAGAAAGTGGGTTGGGTTGGGGGGGGGGGGGGAGTGTTTACAAATTGTATAGAATGACTTTTTGATAGATAATCTTGGCATACATGAGAAATGTGTATTTTTGAGACATGATATTTCTGGTGCTTTGTACCACTTTCAAGTGAGACAACAATGTTTCAATTGTTCATGCTAGTGGTGAATGTCAGAGAAATTTGAATCAAGGTCTGTGTTATTTAAAGGAATGGTGGTATATTGCAAGTTGTTAAAGTAACTTGACGCTTTTGAATGTTTGAATGAGGTTACAATAATCTCACATTCAAGCATAAGATTACTATTAAGACAATGAACTTGCACTTTATCCGATTTATAATGCAAATATGATTTAACATGAATAAGATAAAGTAATAAATCAATCATTACTAGTATGAATTAGATTGTAATCAATGTTTCAATATTATTCATCCTATATTATAATCAAAACAAACACAACATATTAATTCGAAAACCTATCAGAATCAGAATAGATCAATTACTAGATCCACCTATCATCATCGACATAACCAAAAAAAATTATTAAAAAAACGTTAGTTGTTATTAAAATATTTTTAAATTGATGATTCTCACCAAGAATTTGTTCGTCGGACTGTTTTAATTCCATTTCTTTTCTTGGTGGATCATCTACCACTATTAATGGCCGAAGAATTCATTTGTGTATATAATGGGCTCTACTCAAAATGAACGATAAATAATGAAGAATTATGATTAATTATATTAGAGGTTCTCAAAGTATAAATTTGTCTTATTTTAGTCCATAATATTTTAATTGTATCATTTTGATCTTTAAAGTATTAAATATATTTTTATGTGGTCCTTTAAACAGACAACATCCAAATTGTTAATAGTTTTTTATCATAAATTTATCACGTGATACCTAAATATAGACAAAAAATAATTTGTATAACTCTTAATCAAAAATTGGGTAGCTCTTGATAAAAAATGTGTAATATGGAGAGCTCTTGACAAAAAATGTGTAAAATACCACTCTTGACTAAAATTTAGATAACTTATGATAAAAAAAATGTGTAATTTTGGTGATTATTTGACCAAAATTTGGATAAAAATTTGATCAAAAGTTATCTAAATTATTTTTTTGTCCATATTTTAGTATTACGTGGCTAATTTATAATAAAAAAATCATTAATAATTTGAACATTGTCTATTTGAGGAATCACATAAAAATATATTTAATATTTTACTTAAGGACTAAAATAATACAATTAAAATATTAAAAATCAAAATAAAATAATCTCATACTTTAAGACCCCTCCTTTGTTAACGTGTATCACACGCACTCTAATCAGCAGCAAAGCAATGCAGCCATTCCTTCCACGACTCCTCATTTTTCGCGAAACTGTACGTGTCAACACATCATGTGACCTGACTTGACTCCACGTGGCACAATTCCATCGGTCGAAACCACTCGCTGAAGAATCAATCTCAACCGTCCACTCCATCTCAGCGAATACATTACTGACCGCTCTACCGTGGAAGTTGAAGACTTTTGGAGGCGAGAGGAGAGAGAGACAAAGACAGAGAAAGAGGAGGGAGAGAGGACTTGGTGACTACAGAGGTGTGTATTTATCTAGCTGAAATTATCAGTATAAATTTATACAATTATCAGCCGATTACTTATTTTCACTTTCTTCATGAGTGTTGGGTCTTTTTTCTAGGTGATTTTTTTGCTGTTTATGCTGGTAATTCAAATGTAACTTATTTCAGTTCAAGAGGTTCGTGTTTCTAGGGTTGGTTATGCTTTGAATTGGGACGTGGTGATGAATTTTGGGCTCCGTGAATTGTTTTTTTTTTGTGATCCTGTACAGTGCTTTTGATTGTTATTGTGCTCTAGGATTCTACCACTTGGGTTGACTTCATTTTCCGTGCGATTGAATATATGTTTCTGTGCGAATACTTGAATTGTTTTGCTGTTTTACGAAGTGGGTTTTTTCGTATTGCCTCCATTTTTAGTGAATTAACTGTTCCAGAATTTGTTCTTTTTTTCTCTCTCTCTCTCTACATATATATGTGTGTGTGCGTGTGTCTCCATATACAAAATCATCTGGGTGATTGTATATATTTCACACACACACACATACGTGCGCATATCTAGTGGTTTTTAGCCCGAAAGCTCTGTTCTTTTTACCCAATTTTGTTCTTTCCTTTATTTTATTTTTTTATGGTTTTTGCATTGGGTAACTGTTTTACAAGGAAAATGTCCGATATTTCATCAAGTAGGACATGCAAAGTTGTATTTTTTGTTAGTTATTCATTTTAAACTTCGGATCCATCTTCTTAACTGCTATCACTTGAGCTCAGAGAGATAAGCTAATTCAGGTGATATGGGAGCTGCAAACTGTTTCTAGAAAATGAAAACTAAAATTTGCTGTAAAAATCAAGTCTTGGGGGCTCAATTTTATTGCTATTACATAAAGTTTGAGACCATAATTAGTGTATAAGTGTTCGAAGAAATCATTTTACAAAACAAAGCCTGATACTTTTCTCCAGCCTCCACTCTTTGTCTGTTCATTGGTAGATGGTTGATTTTGATTTAAGGAAGGTACACAATTTTCCTGGCTATGTTATGTCTCAACATGCATAAGCATCAAGTTTTTGAATTATATGTTCAATTGTGATGCACTTCTCCTGGAAATCTTGATTTTCCTTTACTTTATCTCTCATTGAGCTACAAAGATCTTATCTTCAAGCCCTGAAAAGAGGGGCATCACTGCTCCCTTTGAACTGTTGTAAAATCATGCAGAAGAAATTCTAAAAGTTGATGCTAAGGAGTAAGAACATTAAATGTTGTGGTTTTAATCCAGAATTTAACAGGCTGATGCCATCTTGATCTTGCCATGTCAGCATCAGTAGGCAAGTTATACACAAATGGAAAAATGAATCCATTGTTATTTGTTACAAACATGTTTCTTGCTCTCATGCCCAGATGGCATAATGCTGTGTGAAAATGGATAAACGCAATAGTAGAAATCCTCACCAAAATTCATGGAGTGCATGTGCACAAGGCATTGTAAGTTTTTGTGGATCATTGATTTTTGGTCAGAGTAATGACTCATGTTTAGGATGAGGACCTTTCTCCTGTCTTCCTAGGATCATTTCTTCATTGCAAAGTAAGTAGATTATTGATCTACAAGTTCGTCTGGTTCAAATTATAGCGCCATCGATTCTAATACTCTTAGTCATATCATACACACATAGATGCATATACCATTGGTATAAAAATATATGCTTGGCATCTAATTCTCTATCATTATTTACAAACAGCTGCTCTTCATATTTGGCTGTTTCGATTCTCCTTTCTAATTCCAATTATTTTCCGTGACTGTCTCTGACCGCTGATTTATTTGTTTAAAGGGTTTCATCTCCTTGTTGATGTTCTCAGATCTAGATTGTGGTACATATCACAACTGCAGATCAAATGCCATCGGTAAAAATGAAGACCAAGTCAACTGTGGGCTGTTTAATAGAAAAAAAGGGCCTGCACGTATGCCAAAAGTCAAGTATGATTTCCAAGAATTCTCTCTCTCGTGTCAAGATCTCTCAAAAAGCAGCAGAAAATGAGACATGTATTCCTAATATCCAGGATGGTGAGTGATGTAGTTTTGTAATCACACTAGGCATGTTCTCCAGAGAATGTAATCCTTTGTTGGTGAGAATAAGGTGAAATGTATTATCTTTCAGGTTGTTCTTTATCATTGTCTGTTACTTATGGTCGAGTTTGTGATTAGTGTAAGACATTGAATGAGTATTTGTATTTTTGTTGTATGTGTCGTACATAATGTATTGCAATGGAACATGAACTTTTTGAACAGATTGTATTCAAAAAAAGTAGACATAATCACACTGATATTGACTTTTTGAACCTGGACTTTTTCTTGTATGTGTTTCTGCGTAGCATTATTTCATGACTTTTGTAGCATTTCGGAATGTCGTTATATTGTGAGAATCATAAAGCTTATATTCTGAAAGATAGTGATACTGAAGAAGAATCTGAGAACTTTTATTTTACATTTGGAAGCATGTTGCCTAGTACTGGTTGGTGCAAGAATAAAAATTAATTCGGATAAACGTTTTCAAGGTGACTGAAATGAATTAATGATTGAATCGAAATTCCAAATTTTCGAATTGTTTTAGAATGTTTAGAGGTGTTTACAGATGTGTCCACATGTTTCAACCAATATTTCAAAATGTTTGATGTGTTTCAAGATGTTTCTGTATATCTCAACCAATGATTCATAACTTTTTTAAAAATAATTTTTTGCAACATTTCTGAAACGTTATCATTTCTTGGGGGACCAAAACAATGCACCAAAATGAAATCCTTGGGTTGATGTATGTTTTTACTCTAGATGCTTCCAACTTTCAGTATTTGACTTTCTTAGCATTACCCTCAATGGTCAATTCTTGAAATGTATTCAAAGTTTCAAGAATTTGTACTTTTGGTGAAGAATTGAAAAGGTGATGGGCTGGATTTTAGGACATTGTGAAATAGTTTTCTTTCTTGTTTCTTTTTATGTTTCTCTTTGATGTGGAAGAAGATAAGAGTAAAAGCTCTAACATTTTGATGCATGTCTGGAAAAAAAGTTGTACGTTGAAGAGAGATAGTAAAATGTAAAACTCCAAAGACTTGTAAAGAGTCAATGTAGTTTTAGTCCTATAGTGGCTGTAGGTGGAGTACCAGTCCTATTATTTTTCATTTTTTAAAGGAAGAGATGCTCAGAAATTTTTTCCATAAAATTACAAAAGATGATGAAATTTGCCATATCATACATGTAAACTTAGTATTTTATTGACCAACAAAGATATTGTTGCAAAGCAATATTGATTGTGTGGTTTTTGAGCTTTCTCTTGTTCTGTGTGTTTGGGAGCGATATCCTAGTAGTCTGGAGATATTTCTGTGATGAATTAAGTTCTATTTTTTTGCATAAATTTAATTCATTTTATTGATTTTTTTTTTGCAGGTTCTTTGTGCAAGAGTAAATATGATCAGGATATTGGGACTGGTAAAACTAACCATATGCTCGATGGAGGAAATTGTCAGTATCAGAAGCAGCCATTACCTTTGATCAATTCTGAAACGGTTGGGAGAATGGTAAAGTGTGCTAATTATAGAGATTCTTCTTGCCCGAATGTTATGATATCTAGTTAAACAACCATTTTCCTTTTGTTTTGGTCTTCCCATGTAGGAGTATAATATGATATTTTATAGTGGTAATGTATCAGGCAAAAAAATGCAACAAAAAAAAAAAAAAACTGGAAGTTTTATTTATGATATGTGATCGTGAGGACAATTCAACATTAATTGGTCAACTGACAAATCTTAACTTTGTCCCAATTTAGGTTTGTTTGAAAAAAAGCCCATGCTTGTTACAAACAAATTTCTGCAAATAACTGAAAAAGATACAGATCTGGTTGCTGTTTTTACTTTTTAGGTTACTTATCCATGTGGCCTATGTGGTGTATGTGCTGTTCTCATTTTATGAGATATTTCTGAAGAACTAATGTAGATGTTGAGTGTACTGTCATGGTAATTAACCACTGATGGTTTCTACCGAGTGCAGGAATCTACACCAGCCACCTCAAACCTAGAAACAATTTTTTCAACTCTCCTGGAGTCCATGGACGTTCACGGTGAACTACATTTTTACGTTGATGAAGGTACAACTGAAATTTTGTTGTTTGTGGCTCATTCCTTTCTAGGGAAGATTGTGGTGTTTAAATACGGACTTGTACTTTTGGTATGAACACACTAAAATTTGTAGGAAGATAGTTTTATCTGTTGTTTTGTTCTTTGTTGCCAGGATATGAAGGAAACTGTGGAAAGCTACAATAGCTGTATATATTTATGTGTTTAATTGTTGGGATTCAGTTCAACAACTGATTTGTGTAGTAATTTTTGTTTTGGTTTTAAACATGTAGGAGAACACACCTGAAGCTTCCTATAACTGGGCTTTTTGGCAGCCAAAGAGTTTTGCTTCTCTGTCTGGTTATTAAAAGGGGGATTTGGGTGAAATTTCCTATGTCATGCAGAAATTTTAGGAAAGTCGGTTCTTCTAAATGTCTGGTTAAAGTAGGCAAGACTTTGACATGGATAATTTGCCGATTGCAACCCATGGTTTATGTGGAAAAGAAGAAAGTCTGTTAACAAGTTGTAACTTTTTAACATTCAAACTATCAAATATTTATGTAAACTATGTTGTGGAAAAGTATTTATTTTCTAAAACATAACAAGAAAAAGCATTCACATTGTCCTATCTTGCATGTTTCTTCTTCCACCCATGTACCACATTGAATGTTATTATGTCTTCATAGTTCATACATGACCCATTTTATAGCTCATTTACTATGTCATGTTTCCGGAAGATGATACTTGATTGCACTTATTGCACCAATAATTTGTTTCAAAAGATTTTTTCACATCTCTGTGAAAATAGACTAATTTTTTCTGTTTGATATTCCATTCATGGCTTAAGTTTGGGAATTTCTTCATGTTTAGGAAAGCCACATAATGAGATTTTAGGCCCAGTTTTGAACTAGAGAAGTTACAAAAGCTAATGACATTGATTTCAACCACTTACCTTTCTCTCGTTTCTCTGCAGGGAGTGACAAACATATTGATGTTCCACAGTTGGTTGAAGATAATGATGCCGACAGTGGTGGAAGTTCATGTGAATATCAAGCTTGCAATGTTTCAGAGTTTAACATTTCTGACATGATACTTTCTGGCTTACCCATTGAAGACAACTCAATATATGATTACATTCCAGACACAGCTTGCTTACCTGACTACAAATGTGATGAGCCAAGTATGTTTTTTAATGTGGCTGAGGAATGTATGATGCTACCTTTCCTCGAGGATACCACGGAAACAAGCAATGGCCATGATAACGAAACACGTGAAGAAAGCATAATAAAGTCTGATGATTCAAGCTTATATCTAGCAATCCATCAATTGAGATCCTGCAACCAGGATTCTGATGTTAATTTCTGTACCGACTCAGATGAAGCAGAGTTTTTTGATCCACACATGTTCATCAGAAATCTACCAGACCTACCAGATGTGTCACCCAGTTTTCGGCCCACCTTATTGCCAAAGGAAACACGGAAAGTGAAATCTGTAACCTTAGTTCTTGATTTGGATGGTAAGGAAATTGAGTTCTTTAATTATTTACTAACAATTTTGGGAACATCTCATGAAATTATATATCATAGTATATGTAGTTGGATGTTTACCATAGTTCCAGTTCCTTCAAAAAACTTCCAGACACTGGTTCATCGTATTTTCCAGAAATCATTTCTAGAATTAGTGACACAATCGAATGGTTTGCTCATGCTGGCTTTTTGTGTGCAGAAACGTTAGTCCACTCCACATTGGAATATTGTAATGATGCGGATTTTACCTTTTCAGTGGTTTTCAACATGAAAGAGCACACTGTGTATGTGAAACAGCGGCCTTACCTCCGGACTTTTCTGGAGAGAGTTGCAGAGAAATTTGAAATTGCAATCTTCACAGCCAGTCAAAGCATATATGCAAAACAACTTCTGGATATACTTGATCCGGATGGAAAGATCATTTCACGCCGAGCTTATCGTGAGTCATGCATTTTTTCAGATGGAAATTACACCAAGGACTTAACGATTTTAGGTGTGGATCTTGCAAAAGTTGCAATAATTGATAATTCACCACAGGTAAATAGTTTGGCAGTTTTGTTCTCTGCTAGGTTCTCTCTCCCCCCCCCCCCCCCCCTCCTTTTTTCTTTTTTTCTCCATGGACAAATATTTCAGCATTTTGTGATCTTTGATTTTTAATATGGCTTGAACGGGCATCATCTTGCTTTATCCTTTATGTGATGGGAGATGTATATAGGAGTTCAACACATATTGCCCTACAAATTAAATACTGGATATATTTGGACTGATCCTTCCTTCAGCTATAAATTTTGGTACATTGAGTTGGGAGGTAATGACTGGTATGTAACCATTGATTTGTTTCAGATTTTGAGGTAGAAGTTACAATGATCTGATTGTTTGGCTAAGAATTATACTTCATCTGGATCAAATTTGAGGGTCATGCTTTCATTGGAAGAGGAAAACATAATTTAGTCCTGTTCGTTATTAGTAACGTGAAGAACATTATATTATTACATTTTGGAATACTGAATAAAATGAATTTCCAAAATTTCTGTTAGTTAAGTACCTGCTTACTGAAGCTTCATTCTCTTTTGATGATCTCAGGTTTTCCAGTTGCAAGTGAATAATGGGATTCCTATTAGGAGTTGGTTTGATGACCCATCAGATTGTGCATTGATTTCATTACTTCCTTTCCTAGGGACCCTGGTTGATGCTGATGATGTACGTCCTATCATTGCTAAGAGATTCGGTAACAAGGAATAAGACCCCTTGTCCTCTCCTTATTACCCCCATTTTATCATCTCCTGTCCCTGTCATCTCATTTTAAGCAGAAACTATCCTCCACCTTAGATGTTCATCAGACATCCTTTTCTACTTCTTGATATAAATTCCTATAGAATAAAAAAAGGATAAGTTGGTGCTGTTGTTTCCAGCGTTTGGTGCTTGTTTCTTTTCTTTTCTATTCTCTTTTGACAGATAGGTGGTCGATCTAATTGTTGAAAAGGTACTTGCAAAGAGCTTCTCTATACTCTATATCTGCATTGTACAGTCATAGATGCTTAGCTAATCACAAGCATATGTATATCCATTGTTTTGTTGTGAAGTAAATTTTGTGAATTCTAAATTGCGTTATATCTGTTTACATCAGTATGCAATCGTATTTTTGACAGACTCTTCTCTCGCTTATTATTTAAAAATTTCTGCGAACTAGGGACTTTATTTACTGTTTAATGTGATATTGCTTATGCCCGTCGTAATGTAATGATTACTTGACTTTGGGGATATGATGAACGGATTCTGTCATTAGTTATTTGCTTATACCCATCAATATGATATAACCTTTGTGTGCAATAGTTAAGACTAGCAAAAACAGTGGACAAGGGTTTAAGATTAGGAGAAACAGTGGACGAGGATTTCAACCATCATTTCTGTTGGTTGAATCTGATAAGCGTGTCAGGGATGGTTTTGTTCACAGAATGTATGTCACGATGAAGTAGAAATATACCTAAGTAGAATAATTTCACACAAAAGCATTGTTCAAAATTTTGAATTCGAGATAAATAGTTATTTCCAAGCAAGGATTATATAAATGTGCTTGAAAAACATAGGAGGAGTTCACGGGTTTAATAACTATGATAATTATATTAAGTTAGTTGATAAATTCACTTATCAGGAATGTAATAATAACCTACAACATTCATAAATTGTTGAAGCCAATTTCTTTAAAAGAAATGTGAGCTTGAATTGTTCTCAGAAAATTTCCTTTACAGCTGCTGAATGCTAGTATTGGCTTCACGTCATAGACTGCAAAGCGTTCCAATTCGAACTGTACAAGAATAAGTCCAATGTGATAAGCTTAATAGCTCGAGGATCCATAGTTATATCATATCTCTCCCCATCTTGAGGGTTATATCGCCGTTTCAGTTTCCCTATGTCTCTCCCTCACATTCACACCACTCAAATATCCAACTCCCCTCACATGTCCTCATTGTTGCACGTATTTTTCATTCCTCCTCCTCCTGCAGGGGGAAGGGCAACAGGCTTACAGTATCTACCTTCAGTGGTTGTTGAATAAATTAGAAAGCAAGCACTGTATGAAGGTGTAGATTTGAACCACCTCATGTTAAACAAGGTACATAGTAATTGGTGTTGGTAGTAGTGGCAAGGGTGTTTGTGATGACACTAAACATTTTATTTGTGTAACTTGTAATCTAGGAGTTATGATGGTAAAAGCAGGGTGAGTTTGATAGCAGCCATTCTGTTTGAGTAATGCTGGAGGTTAGTTTTCCATCTAGTTCTATCCCTCCCAACACTCTGCATTGATGTGACTAAAAAATGGTGATGACCATTTTAAGTCTAAATAGTGAAATTGTTAACCTACCATATAATGATACTTGTAATAACTCTTTGCCTGAAGACACTTTACTATATGAAAAATCAAACATTGATTGTGAAATATTTATAATCTAAATAGTAATTTATGTTCCTTTTCTTTTCTTTTCTTTAAGTACACAATTTAAAATTAAAATGAGCAGAGAGAAAATAAGAGAGGCAGAGGAGAAATAAGAGACAAGTAAGTGTGTATTAATAGGGTTGGTTGGCATTGAAGAGTATGTTAGTTGAATTATCTAACATTGAGGGGCATGCACAGAAGATGATATTTTTAGCTGGAAAATTTTTTTTGAGATAAATTTATATTATGGGATTAAAGTAGATGAAATCGGATCAGTCTTAACCACCGCTGTGTTTTTATAAGATGAAAATTCAACTTCGCTATAATATTAGATAGATATTGGCCCCCTTTTTATATGATTAAGTTCACAACTTGTTTGTTTATGGAATCTATTATCACATCACTTGTCTGCGGCTATCCGGATGATTTTATAACTGGAGATGTCTAATTACAATACTAAACATTACTGTGCCCAAGAATTAAAATGATAGTCTTCATGATATTGAGTCTAGATGAGCAATGTGAAGTTTCTCAAAAAAATTTGGAAGTTCGGAAGGCTTGGTTCTTACACTGCAATCCTTAAGATCTTATGAATAGAGACAGATGCAATTGCTGATAAAAGTCCTTCTCCTGTCTTTAGTGAAAGATTGCTCTATATCCTTCTTTATGAAACCATGGTGGAGACAGGGAAAGGCAACATAAGACAACTAGAATATAATCTAGCTGAGTAAACCTTGTTGTGTTAGATGAATAAGTTCGTTTATACGTCAATATAGTGAATAGAGGAAATATATTCCCGGGAAAGGGAAGGAAAATAACTGAGTGGAGCCTTCTGTGGACAAAGCTTATGGATAAACCTCGGAATCCTTCAAATGAGTCCAAAATTTGAATATTTCCATTGCTACATTTGTCAACGATTTTTTCTAAATATATAGGAGGATGATTTTGACCTTTGGCAGAGACAATTTTGGGGGTTTTCAACTTCATCTTTACGACTTTGTTTCCCCAAATCTCTAATGTTGTGGTTGGTATGTGTTAATCAATATGTAATATATTGATAAGTAGAGATAGGAAAGGCCTAGTATTTTTGGGGTTATATCAGCCTTGCAGAAACTAAGCTAAATCGCAATTGTCTACCAAAGGGAATCCTCTTAATATCTTTGTGGTGGTATGGAAAGGAATGCAAGAGAGATTCAAAAAATAGGTTTAGACTTATGTTGTCGTTGGTTTGGTACTCTGGTTCTCTATATTAGATACACGGATTCCGTTAGTCAGGGTACAAGTTGTGTTTTTCATGTTTTCCCTCAAATTAGATAAGACGATTAGTTATGGGTCACTGGACTCTCTCCCTTTGTCTTGCACTTGTGTTGTACTTGTGGTATTTATGTTTTGTTCTATTGGCTTTGAAATGTAAGATTGGTCCACTGTGACCTAAGTGTCAAGGATTCAAGTCATGGAAATGACTCCACGTGTGGGAGCAATTCTAAGTACATCTAACCTTCCCTAGAACCTATAGGGGCTGGAGTCTTGTGCACTGGGACACTTTTCTTTTTCATCGGTTTTTGTGATTGCATTTTATAGAGGGGAATAGATTTAGGGCTCAAGGGAATGCAGCTCATGTTGATTACATGATATTTCTTGTAAAGAAATAATTCAAATGTCATATTTATGCCCCCTGCTAACAAAATAAAATTCCAGCTATGATTCTCATGATATTCGGTCTGTCAACTTTAAGTAGACCCTAGTATAAATGACAAATTAGGACAATTTCTAGGTTGGACTTTGAAAGAAGTTGTTACCTGCTAAAAAGTCCAAATGATTTAACATTACTTAGGGGAACAAATGAGTGAATTGGTCATGAGTTTGCATTTGAGGATTTCCATATACCATCTAAAAGAACGTATATATTTTAGGGTAGAACAGCACTGTTGCTCGAGTGCTAAACCAGCCATTGCTATCAATATGTATTTTCCTAGTATGCAAATTTCATAAATGATGCTAGTTCCATGATAGAACTTTTTGCTACCCACTTCAAATTTAATATAGTGTAGCATGAAAGTTTGGGAGTAAGGATTTCAGTTTACTGGACATGAGCCAGTGGACCAAGACAGAGCTGTGTGTGTTAAGAATTAAGATCTCATTTCACTAGACAACATTTGGGTTGATGGATCTAAGATCTCTCTCAATGGTAACAGTTTCGAGATTAGGTAGCAGCCTGGAGGTTATTTTTAGAGATCCATGAGGATTGTGAAGAGAGCCTAACATGAAATCCCTTTTTGTTGATATTAGATATGGGAAAGGCAAACATGATTGTTTGTGGAGTTGCAAAACCCAGCTGACAA